TGGTTTTCCCTTGAAGAGGAAAGGGTGATGTAGCAAAGTAGCCTAAGTATTTCCCTCAGTTTTTGAGAACCAAGGTATCAATCCAGTAGGAGGCTCCTCAAAATTCCCTCGTACCTACACAAACAAACAAGAACCTCGCAACCAATGCGATAAAGGGGTTGTCAATCCCTTCACGGTAACTTGCGAAAGTGAGATCTGATAGAGATAATAAGATAAGATAAATATTTTTGGTATTTTTATGATATATATTGGAAAGTAAAGATGCAAATAAAAGTAGATGGGAAACTTATATGATAAAAGATAGACCCCGGGGCCATAGGTTTCACTAGTGGATTCTCTCAAGATAACATAAGTATTACGGTGGGTGAACAAATTACTGTCGAGCAATTGATAGAAAAGTGCATAGTTATGAGATTGTCTAGGCATGATCATGTATATAGGCATCACGTCCGCGACAAGTAGATCGAAACGATTCTGCATCTACTACTATTACTCCACACATCGACCGACTCCTGCCTGCATCTAGAGTATTAAGTTCATGAAGAACAGAGTAACACATTAAGAAAGATGACATGATGTAGAGGGATAAACTCATGCAATATGATATAAACCCCATCTTTTTATCCTCGATGGCAACAATACAATACGTGCCTTGCTGTCCGTGCTGTCACTGGAAAGGACACCGCAAGATTGAACCCAAAGCTAAACACTTCTCCCATTGCAAGAAAGATCAATCTAGTAGGCCAAACCAAACTGATAATTCGAAGAGACTTGCAAAGATAACCAATCACACATAAAAGAATTCAGAGAAGATTCAATTATTTCTCATAGATAAACTTGATCATAAACCCACAATTCATCGGATCTCAACAAACACACGCAAAAAAAGTTACATCGAATAGATCTCCAAGAAGATCGAGGAGGACTTGGTATTGAGATTCAAAGAGATAGAATAAGCCATCTAGCTAATAACTATGGACCTGAAGGTCTATGGTAAACTACTCAGAACTCATCTGAGAGGCCTTGGAGATGATGTAGAGGCCCTCCATGGTCGATTCCCCCTCCGACGGAGCGCTGGCGAAGGCTCGAAGATGGGATCTCACGGATACAGAAGGTTGCGGTGGTGGAATTAGGTTTTCATGGTGCGCCTGGATGTTCTCGGGGTACGTGGATATATATAGGAGGAAGAAGTAGGTCGGTTGAGCCACGAGGGGCCCACGAGGGTGGGGGGCGCATCGGGCACCCTCGTGGCCGCCTCGTTTGCTGCTTGACGTCCACTCCAAGTCTCCTGGTTTGCATTTGTTCCTAAAAGATCGCTCCCGAAGGTTTCATCCCGTTTGGACTCCGTTTGATATTCCTTTTCTTCAAAACACTGAAATAGGCAAAAAAACAGCAATTCGGGCCGGGCCTCCGGTTAGTAGGTTAGTCCCAAAAATGATATAAAAGTGTAAAGTAAAGCCCATAAACATCCAAAACGGGTAATATAATAGCATGGAACAATCAAAACTTATAGATACGTTGGAGACGTATCAAGCATCCCAAGCTTAATTCCTACTCGTCCTCGAGTAGGTAAATGATAAAACAGAATTTTTGATGTGCAATGATAACTAGCATATTTCTCAATGTAATTTTCTTTATTGTGGCATGAATGTTCAGATCCAAATGATTCAAAATAAAAGTTCATACTGACATAAAAAACAATAATACTTCAAGCATACTAACAAAGCAATCATGTCTTCTGAAAATAACATGCCTAAAGAAAGCTATCCCTTCAAAATCATATAGTCTGGCTATGCTCTATCTTCATCATATAAAGTATTTAATCATGCACAACCCCGATGACAAGCCAAGCAATTGTTTCATACTTTAGTATTCTCAAACTTTTTCAACTTTCACGCAATACATGAGCGTGAGCCATGGACATAGCACTATATGTGGAACAGAATGGTGGTTGTGGGGAAGACAAAAAAGGAGAAGATAGTCTCACATCAACTAGGCGTATCAACGGGCTATGGAGATGCCCATTAAGAGATATCAATGTGAGTGAGTAGGGATTGCCATGCAACGGATGCACTAGAGCTATAGATGTATGAAAGCTCAACAGAAGGAACTAAGTGGGTGTGCATCCAACTTGCTTGCTCACGAAGACCTAGGGTGTTTTGAGGAAGCCCATCATTGGAATATACAAGCCAAGTTCTATAATGAAAAATTCCCACTAGTATATGAAAGTGACAACATAGGAGACTCTCTATCATGAAGACCATGGTGCTACTTTGAAGCACAAGTGTGGTAAAAGGATAGTAACATTGTCCCTTCTCTATTTTTCTCTCATTCTTTTTCTTTTTCTTTTTTTCTCTCTTTTTTTATTTGGCCTTTCTCTTTGTTTTGGCCTTTCTCTTTTTTTTATAAAGTCTGAAGTCTCATCCCGACTTGTGGGGGAATCATAGTCTCCATCATCCTTTCCTCACTTGGGACAATGCTCTAATAATGAAGATCATCACACTTTTATTTACTTACAACTCAAGATTACAACTCGATACTTAGAACAAATATGACTCTATATGAATGCCTCCGGCGGTGTACCGGGATATCCAATGAATCAAGAGTGACATGTATGGAAGAATTATGAAGGTGGCTTTGCCACAAATATGATGTCAACTACATGATCATGCAAAAGCAATATGACAATGATGATGCATGTCATAATAAACAGAACAGTGGGAAGTTGCGTGTCATAATACTCTGAAGCCACCAATGCCTCCCATGCCGCCCATGCCAACAATGGCTCTTTTTTGGACAAAGACTTCTTCACGGGAAAGATTGATGTACTCCTTTTGCTTCTCATCGAGGGTAGATGTGTCCATGAAGAACAAGTACTTCTCCCATTACAACAATCTAGTTCGCTCCTCCATTGCCAATTTCTTATCCTCCAATGCCACCTTCCTCTCCTCGGATGCCAACCTCCTCTCCTCGGCCGCGGCTTCTTGGTTCCCTGCCATCTTCCTCACCTCATTCGCTTCCTTTCCTGCGTTAACAATAGCTTCCATAGCATTTTGAGCTCGTCATCTCCCTTCCTCTTCTTCTTTTCTTTTGCGTATTTCTTGCCTCCATTTGGTCTTTTTGGCTTGGAGTAGGCAACCGAGTTTGGTGTAGGGCTTCTCTTGTCGTCATCACTTGATGCCTCCTCCTCATCATCATCCAAATCAATGGTTCACTTGCGATTGTTGCTCTCCCCATCATCGATACCATCATGGGGCTTCCATTTCTCATCATCCTTCAACGCTTCATAGCAATGAGGCAAGGTAAATGGTCTCCCTTTCTTGGTCTTCTTCTCCTCTCCTTGAAATAAGTTTTGTGCAATAGTGATCTACAAATAAAAGAACAAGTTAACACTTGAAACACCAAGAAGAAGCATGATGAACATGGAAGAATCATGAAAGAAATGGCACTTACCCTATCTCTATCATTAGTTCCACTTGTGTTCAATGTGTCAACCGCCTTAAGTAAGGCCGCCCACCTTTGACAATCTTGGTTGATTGTCGACCACCGTGAGCGAAGAGATCTTCCCGAGCGGTCAATTGCACTTTTGTTGTGTAGATCAAAGTGCTCCTTCATCCGGAGCCAATATGCATCTCTACTTCGATCCCCTCCAACGACGGGATCCCTCGACACTTGCAACCAAGTATTGCATAGCAAGATGTCTTCGTCCATGGTGTAGTTGCCCCCTCTTCCTTTCGGTGCATCGACGATGCCCTCACCATCCTCGTCCACCTCAAACTCATGATCATCGAAATGCATCTCATTGGTTTGAGACCAATGAGAATTGTTGGAGCCAACACCCATAGTTGACATATATGTCTCATCATTGAAACTACAAAGTATATACAACAAAGCAAATAAGCTATCCATATGCATGCATTCAGAAAACAACAACAACAAAAGTGGGTGAAATATTTACCTTGTGGGCATTCCATCGAACACCTTGTGCACGTCAGTCGTCGGTGCAACAAGTGGGCTCACGCCGCCGCGTCCATCGCACGCCCTGCAAGCTTCTTCTTCAGCCGCCTAGAGGAGCCGTCCGCCGCCTTGTTCTTCTTCCCGGGCACCTTGCCCGCCTTCGCCCATGCCGCATTTGGGAGCTTCGAGAGGGGGCACGTGGCTTTACGGCGGGCGCCGACGCGACGCCGCCCACCGCTGAGGTTGTCTGTGGCGGCATGAGAAGGCCGCACATGATACTGGTGCTTGGAGGAGCTCCGGCGGAGCAAACACTCCCCGTGCTAGGGTTTGCGGCGGCGGCGGAGGAGGGGTCGCGGGTTTAGGAAGGGGTGAGGGGGATGTTGGCGCGTTCGTCCATCGGGCGAATTCGCCGGCTGCGGCGCGGGCGGGGCGAAAGCGGCACGGCGGAGAGGGTGCGGCTCGGGCGCTCGAGTGTGCAGCGCGTGGGAGCGGGCGCAGCAAATAAAGGCGCGCAATGCCGTTTCGTCCAGCGCGCTGAACTACTTATGCCGCGCGCGCGGTTTTTGCGCCTCCGCTGGAGCGCCCGGAGCGGCTGCACGCGCGCAAATAACTCAAATTTTTCCAGTGCGGTGCTTATATAGCGCGGCTGTTGGAGATGCTCTTTAGGTTTCGTGCGATGTTTGTTTGGCATTAGGCCCGGATATTCGGCACACCTTCGTCAATGGAATAGGAGTAGCAACAGATGTTGCCTAGATGGTGACTTCAGACTGACTTATGTATTACTCTGTATGGTTTCTGTAAATAATTAATAAAATGTCTGGCATCTATCCTCCTTTTTTTTTTGAAAAAAACATAGCTTTCAATCGTACGTGCTAGTGGCCCAAGGCCCACCTCGCGGTACGCCACCGGAATACAAGTCGACGGGTGGGTGCGCACGAGGCTAGACCCGTCCAGGTCGCGTATAAATGAGTGCGGCCGGCGCTAGCTTGAGCGGGCATCAGTCAGATCGCGCATCGCGTAGCTTCTTCCCAAGTTGCAAGACCATGGTGCGAGCGCCCTCGCCTTCTTCTCTCCTCTACGCTCCCCTGCTCCTAGTGGCTGCGCTGGTCGGGCAGTACCCGGCGGGCTCGCTGCGGGTGGCGACGGCGCAGACCGTGGCGGCACCGGTGCCGGTGCGCGTCGGGGTGATCATGGACTGGGCGACCAAGGCGTCGTCGGCGGTGTCGCTGAGGCGGCGGACCGGCATTGAGATGGCGGTGGAGGACTACTACGCGGCGCACCCGGGGTCGGCCACCAGGGTGGAGCTCCGCTTCGGCGACTCCAAAGGGGAGGTCGTCGGCGCCGCTTCCGCCGGTGAGCTCCCTCTCCCTCCCTCCCCTGCCGCGCACACCTGTTCCACCTAGCTAGCTGCATGCTTCTCTAATCACAAGCTCTTTCGCTCCATGCTGAAATGAATCTTGCTTCTCTAATTAAGCTCTTAATTACGGCGCGATAACACTTCAGATCGCAGTATCGCACGGTCGTCTCGACCACTATCTTCCGTCTTGAGTTTTCCGATGCTGGATGTGCTGCGCGCGTACACAAGTAGTAGTACTTACTCCGTTTCATTCCCAGCATGGTAGGTACGCACACAATAATTGCGCATATGCTTAGTGGTTTCTTTTTCTTACGAAAAGATTTTACTAGCATGCATGCATGTTTCGTCTTGGTCACTGATTAGTGGATGCCGGTACGTACTGGGGGTTCGAATCGTCTGTATCACTCCCTCGATCTGTTGTCTTGTGCGGTGCGCGCTGCCTCCCACATGGCCAAGAACTGTCGTGTTGCCCAGTCTCTGAAAACCGCCATTTTGTCGCCTCGCCAAGACGGGATCGAACGAACGGGCCACTTATTACCAATGCAACCACGCACGTCTGCAGCCAGACGATGCGTCCGTGTTAGTCTGTTACTAGATCAGTATCCTAGCCAGACCATCCCACATGGCATCAACTGCAATTGTTAACCGCGCGCTATGCCATCGCCATGCACGTCGCCTTCTCGCATGCCCGGCCGGCTTAGGTGCGTCTGAGTGACTGGCAAGTCCTCGCGGTCTGCTTCTTCACCGCGTGCACGTACGTGCTAGTGCGCGAGCTGGTCAAGCTCGCTACTCCTACTAGATAGGTATAATATAAAAACTACAATACTAGATAGGTATAATATAAAAATATATTATATTGCGTATTAATATTTCCATTTTTTTTGTATTTGTTCAGAGTTTTGTATATTAAAAAACTATAAGACTTTTAAAATGTAGTTGAATATTGTTTCACTCTGATAGATTAAATGTTCTTTTGTTGTTGACAAAAACACATAAAATGTTAATTTCCCCTCGATCTGACTCAATGTGTATCGCACTTCCGGAGCGCTCTCTCTCTCTCTCTCGGTTTGGGATTCTAACTGCAAGAGAGTTCATGGAAAGCACATGTGCCTAAAACTCTGCTCCTTACTGTTGTTGTTGCAGCGCTGGACCTGATAAAAAATGACCAGGTGCAGGCCATCATCGGGCCCAAGACGTCAGCGGAGGCGGAGTTCGTCGCCCATCTCGGCAGCCGCGCCCACGTCCCCGTGCTCTCCTACTCTGCCACCTCCCCGTCCATCACCTCGACGCAGACGCCCTACTTCGTGCGCACGGCCGCCAACGACTCCTTCCAGGCCACCCCCGTCGCTGCCGTCCTCGCAAGCTTCGGGTGGCGCGCCGTGACCGTCCTGCACGAGGACTCCCCGTACGGCGCCGGCATCCTCCCGGCGCTCGCCGACGCGCTCCAGAGCTTGACGGCGCGGCGATCGTGGACCGCGTCGCCGTGCCGAGCGGCGCGGACGAAGACGCCCTCGACGCGCTGCTCTACCGCCTCAGGGCGATGCCAATGCGCGTGTTCGTCGTGCACGCGACGCATGACCTCGCCGTGCGGCTCTTCCGGCGGGCGAGTAAGGCCGGGATGATGTCCGGCGGCTACGCCTGGGTCGCCACCGACGGCGTAGGCAGCTTCCTGGACAGGCTCGACCCTGAGGACCTCGACTTCATGCAGGGCGTCGTCAGTCTCCGGCCTCACGTTGAGTACACGAAGCAAGTCAAGAACTTCTCTGCGCGGTTCAGGGCAAGGTTCCGGAGGGAGAACCCGGCCTCCGACGATGACCTCCTCAACGACGCGACCGTGATCAGGCTCTGGTCGTACGACACGGCGTGGGCGATCGCCGCGGGCCGCGGCAGCCGAGGTGGCCAGTGTCTCCGGCCCAGCATTTCGGACACCGCAGAATACCACGGCACGTACAGACCTGGACCGGCTCGGCGTGTCGGCCACCGGAGCGGCGCTTCTAAGGGCGGTGCTCAACACGACTTTCGACGGGATGGCCGGCAGGTTCAAGCTGGTAGACGGGCAGCTGCAGGTGGCGGCGTACGAGGTCCTGAACATCATCGGGAACGGCGCCATGACGGTGGGGTACTGGACGCCGGAGTCCGGCATCTCGCGGGACCTTAAAGTCGGCAGCGGCAAGGCAGCGCGGCAGCTGAAACCCATCCTCTGGCCGGGCGAGATGCTGTCCCCGCCGAGAGGCTGGACGGCGTCGCAGAACGAGCGGGTGCTCAATGTCGCTGTGCCGGTGAAGCACGGGTTCAAGCAGTTCGTGGACGTCTTCTCCGAGAACTCGACGACGCCGAAGATCACCGGCTACTGCATCGACGTGTTCGACGCGGTGATGAAGAATCTTCCCTACCCGGTAAGCTACCGCTACGTGCCTTACAACGCCAGCTCGGAGTCGTACGAGATGCTGGTGGACCAGGTGAGCGAGGGGAAGGCGGACATGGCGGTGGGGGACGTGACGATCAGAGCGAGCAGGATGGACAAGGTGGACTTCACGGTGCCGTTCACGGAGTCCGGGTGGGCAATGGTGGTGGCGACACGGCCGGACACGAGCGCCAGCATGTGGATCTTTCTAAAGCCACTGACCACCAGCCTCTGGCTCACCAGCCTCGCCTTCTTTTGCTTCACCGGCTTCGTGGTATGGGTGTTCGTGGGCACCGCATCAACCCGGAGTTCCGGGGCACGCCGTCGCAGCAGTTCGGCCTCATCTTCTACTTCGCCTTCTCCATCCTCGTCTTTGCACACAGTAGGCATCTTGATAACCATCTCATCATCTCAATTTTGCATAGTTCTTGAGGAATATCGATCACCAAATTAATCAACCTTGGTGCTGTTTTTTCACAGAGGAGAAGCCGGAGAGCAACCTGTCGAGATTTGTGGTGATCATATGGGTGTTCGTGGTGCTGATCCTGACGTCGAGCTACACGGCGAGCCTGACGTCGATGCTGACGGTCCAGCAGCTCCGGCCGACGGTGACGGACGTGAAGGAGCTCCAGAGGCGCGGCCAATACATCGGGTACCAGGAGGGCACCTTCATCGAGCCCATGCTCAAGAAAATGGGCTTCGACGAGCGGAGGATGAAGAAGTACAGCACGGTGGAGCAGTACGCAGTGGCGCTGTCCAAGGGTTCGGCGAACGGCGGCGTGGACGCGGTGTTCGACGAGATCCCGTACCTGAAGATGTTCCTGTCGCAGCACTGCGACGGCTACATGCAGGTGGGGGCCATCTACAAGACGGACGGCTTCGGGTTCGTCTTCCCAAGGGGGTCGCCCATGACGGGGGACGTGTCGCGGGAGATCTTGAAGCTGGCGGAGGGGGACAAGATGGCGCACATCGAGAAGGCGTGGTTCGGTGAGCCCGGCACTTGCCAGAACGCGCTGGACGGCATCGGCGGCGGCTCGTCGAACCTCAGCTTCGGCGGGCTGTTCCTCATCACCGGCGTCGTCTCCAGCCTCATGCTGCTGCTCTACCTCGCCATCTTCGCGTACCGCGAGCGCGAGGAGCTCCGGGAGGCGGAGGCGAAGGCCGAGGCAGAGGCCGGCTCCGGGAGCGTGTCAGTGCGGAGGCTGCGCGCGTGGCTGCAGCACTTCGACAGGAAGGACCTCAAGTCCCCCACCTTCAAGACGTGGAACGACGGGTCCCCCAGGAACGGCAACGACTCCGCGGGCAGGACGCCAAGATGGAACGGCGGCGCCGGCGACGCGAGCATGCCGCCGAGGGACGGTGGGGAGGAGCATCAACATGCCATGGAAGGGACCAGCCCGCTGAGCGTGTACATCAGCTCCGAGATGAACGCCGGCTCTTCGCCGGAGGGGACGGCGGCGTCGGAGATCAGTGAGTCGTTCGAGCAGAGGATCGAGGGGGCAGCAACCGCCGTGGAGGTGACAATGCCAACGGCCTCTCAGTTGCAGCAGTAGATTCTAGTAGTACTAGTTTAATTTTGTAGTAGTAGAACCCATTTGCAGAGGAATGCTAGTACAGGAGCTTCGTATAGCCTTGTGGCACTAATTGTAATTTAGCCATAAAATTATTCGAGTGAACACTTATAGGAAACTCAAAAGAAAACAGTTCATCGATAGGGAAACGTTTTCCTCCCATACCCCCCCCCCCCACCCCCACCCCCAAGTGCAGATGGCTGGTTCATCCATTCACGTCGGAGGTGCACCCCTCGACGCCGGCGACCTTGTTTTTGCTCCAGCTGGCGAAGATTGTAACGGATCACCATGGTTTGCTACGAACACAACGCCGAATGCTACAACGACCTGCAGGGGAAGCTACAACCAGCGTCGAGGGAAGCTACAACGCGCAACCAGCGACATGCTTTTTTGCTACAACCGAATTCGCCTTTTGCTACTTTTGACTTTCTTTTTTGCTACAACCGTGGCTGACCGCAGGCGGCAAGCATGGTGACCGTGGGCGGCGAGGACAGGATCCCGGGTTTTTGCTACATGCTACAACCGGCGTTGCAATTTGCTACTACCGGCATCCAATCCGGCTGCAACCGGCATCGTGGTTTGCTACATCGCAAAACGATATTCTGATTTTTGCTACAATCAGCATCATGTTTTGCTACAAACATACTGCAAAATGCTACAACCGGCAGATGCTACAATGGGTACTGGTATAAGATAGAAGGACGAGAAGAAGATGCTACAATGGTGGATGGAAAATGCTACAACCATGTACACAGATTGATACGAGTAAATAAGCACTGTAATGCGACGATGGGGTGGATACTGGGACAACGAGCGGCTGCCTGAGGACGAGGATAGCGACGCGGCGGTAGCTTCAAGGTTGTAGACGAGGTTTTTCGCGCCGGAACCGGCGAGGATTTGTGCTACAAGTTCCATGGAGCAATTTCTTCTTCGAATCGCGGGGATAGGATTTGCGAGGGCGGCCGGCGGCGAGCCCGGGTGTGCTGCAGTGCTTCGAGCCCGATCGCCTGGCGGCGGATTACGGTGGAGGTCAATGGCGCTCGCTGCAGCCTGTCCTCTTCGCGGCGGTTACAATTTCTGCAGGAGAACGATTGAGGAGAACGACGAAGCAGCGACCACATCTGACGGCCAGCTGATGTTGCATCTTACGGTCGCGCGGTGACCGGCCCAAATTTGGGCCGGTGCGCCGGCGCCTAGTACGGCCCTCGTCTATATTGGGGTTTTGCTAAATATGTAGTCTCAGTCACGTGCTCAACTGTCGGATCAGGATGTGTTAAAATTTATGCATTG